CTGGTACAGGTGGAAGTGTTGGTGTATATCCTTATTTCTCCAGTCCCTGTTAACCTAGCAGTAAGTAGGTTCCTGGGTGTTAGTGAACTGTTGTAAGTGGCATCCCAGGGTGTTGTAGCATCCCTGAAACTGGACTGGGCTTTGAAATGAACTAAGGAAGGATAACAGCTTGTAGCCTGTACAAAAATGTTATAAATATTATGTTTTGCCCAGGCTTTATCAAGTTACACAAAATATACAACCTTCTTTATAATGGCCAGTGGTCAAGTGCTAAGAACAAGGTTACATCAGATGACAGAAGTGCAGGTGAGATCTGAGTGGCTGAGTGGGTGGCAAAATTTTCCTAGTACAGTGGACCCCCAGTTATCGGCCATAATCCGTTCCAGAAGGTCGGCCGACAACTGAAATGGCCGAAAACTGAATTAATATTTCCCATAAGAATTAATGGAAATACAATTAATCCGTTCCAGCCAAAAATATTCACAAAAAAAAATTAACAATTATGTAAGTATTACATACCTTCATTGAAGGCTAATGCTAGCTTCTGGAAGATAGGGAAGAGGAAAGAGGGAGGAGTTAGTGTTTGGAAGGGAAATCCCCCTCCATAAAGACTTTAGGTAGCAAAGCCTTCTCTGGGGTTACTTCCCTTCTTTGTCTTTTAATGCCACTAGGACCAGCTTGAAAGTTACTGGACCCCTGTCTCACAAAATAACTGTCCAGAGCGCTCTGTTTTTGGCATCTCTTTAAGATTTCCCTGAAGTGGGACAGGGTTTTGTCATTAAACATGTTGCAGATATGGCTTGTTTCAGCTTTGTCAGGGTGGTGTTTCTCTATAAAAGCTTGCTCCCTAGTCCACATTGCACACACCTCTTTAATCTCTGAAGAAAGCACCTCCTTCACTCCCTCTTCCTCCTCCTCCTCTGAAGCAAGTTCCTCAGCTGCAGTCTGTTGCTGTTCAAGTTGAAGTTCTTGCAGCTCTTCAGTGATTAGTTCTTCCCTGTGGTCCTCCACCAACTCTTCCACATCCTCGCCACTCACCTCCAACCCCAGAGACTTCCCCAGTGCCACAATAGAGTCCACAGGGTCAGCAGGGTCAGGGTCAGCCTCAAACCCTTCAAAATCCCTCTCTTGGACACAATCTGGCCACAGTTTTCTCCAAGCAGAGTTCAAAGTCCTGGAAGTCACTCCTTCCCAAGCCTCACCTATAAGGCTTATGCAATGAAAGATAATGAAGTGATTCCTCCAGAACTCTCTTAGGGTCAACTGAGTGTCCGAGATCATTTCAAAGCACTTTTGAAACATTGCTTTTGTGTAGTTTTTTGAAGTTAGAAATGACCTGCTGATCCATGGGCTGGAGAAGAGGAGTGGTGTTAGGAGGCAAGAACTTCACTTTTATAAAAACGAAGTCCCTAAACACTTGGTCTTCCAAGTCAGGAGGATGTGCAAGAGCACTGTCCAGTACCAGGAGGCACTCGAGTGGCAATTTCTTTTCCAGGAGGTATTCTTTCACATTTGGGCCAAATTCATCATTAACCCACTCTTTGAAAATTTGTCTTGTGATCCATGCCTTATGATTAGCTTTCCACATCACACACAATCTATTCTTCATGACATTGCTTTTCTTGAACACGGATTTTCTGAGTGATACACGAGTCAAGGCTTCACTTCGAAATCCCACTAGCATTACCACACAACAAAAGAGTAAGCCTGTCTTTCATAGGCTTGTACCCTGGCAGTGCCTTTTCCTCCTGGGTAATGTAGGTCCTGTTTGGCATTTTCTTCCAAAACAGGCCTGTTTCATTACAATTGAACACTTGTTGGGGTTTGAATCCATCAGCCTCTATGTACCCCTGGAATTCCTGCATGAATTTTTCAGCCGCACATTTGTCAGAACTTGCAGTCTCACCATGCCTTACAACACTGTGTATGCCACTACGCTTCTTAAATCTATCAAACCATCCTTTACTGGCCATAAATTTGCAAACTGCAGCACTTGTTCCAGGCATTTTCTTTGCAAGATCCTCATGAAACTGCCTTGCCTTCTCACAAATAATAGACTCCACAACACTATCTCCCACTAATTCTTTTTCCTTAATCCAAAATAATAATAACTTTTCCATCTCTTCCATTACTGGTGGCCTTTGTTTAGTTAGAAAAGTCACTCCTTTTGCAACATTAGCATCTTCGATTTGTTTTTTCTTTGCCAGGATGGATGTAATAATGTTGGTAGAATTACCGACAATATATAAAGTAAAAGGACACAAGTGCAACTAATGTGACATTTTATTTTGGCAACGTTTCGCTCTCCAGGCTTGACAAAGCTCCTGGAGAGCGAAACGTTGCCAAAATAAAATGTCACATTAGTTGCACTTGTGTCCTTTTACTTTACAGGATGGATGTAATTGTTGATTTATTCTTGCTTTACATCCTGGCAAGTTCAACCACCTTCATACCACTCTCAAACTTTTCTATCACTTCACCCTTAAATTCCATGGTGTTTCTCACTTTCTTTATCACAGGAACTTTCTTTAGAGCCATGGTTACTTATTTCACAGTTGCACTGCAAAAAAAAACACTAAAAACAATGGAAAACAAGCGAAATGTTTGGATGTATGAGCAGAAGCTTCCTCAGCCACCAAGAGACAAAGCCAAACTGACGCGCAAGCGGCCCCAGCCGGCAGATGGACACATCCCAAACAGCCGATAACCGAATTAACAGCCAATAACCGGGCGCCAAAAAACCGGTCGATAACTGAGTTGGCCGATAACAGAACCGGCTGATAAACAGGGGTCCACTGTACATCTAGAAAATGTAAAACCAGATTCACTTCCAATTCTCCAAGAGAAAGGAGAGAAATGGACAGGACAAATTATCTTTCCAGTGGAAATATTGATTTTACAATTATATACACTATCTTTTGAAAAGTCAACGAAGAGGAGGCAATAACGATCTTCAAAACGACTGAGGACACCATGCACCCACATCTTCCCAAATCTTCCAGTTGCTCAACTGGCATTTACAACATTTCTTGTCTCAGCTGTGACAAACTATTACATATGTAGGTGAGATGTACCATGGTCTCAACACAAGTTCAAATATGCATGTAGAATGGTCATGTCAACAGTCTGCATAACTGGTGATCACTTCTCATTGATCGAAGTAAGATGAGGTTACGTAATCTTGTACAAGAATGACACACACGTAAATATGCCTTAAGGCTGCCACCATCCAGGTCTCAGACACCATCAAACAAAACCCAGGTAACTTCATCATTTCAAAAACACTTGCCCACCCCATTCCAGAACACTGTACCTATACCTTTGAGATACTTTTTTATGAGTCTCAAGAGCTTTTCTACTCCCTCAGGGCAGGCTTGTCTGGGGCTTGCCTGGCAACCCGCTTGGCAACATATTCACCAGAGCCTGACTGATCTGGCACCTGGTGGAGATACTTGTCCACTCTTAAAGACTTCTACATTTGTCCCAACAATGTTTCTGATATCTACTAGTAAGATGTTGAATAGTATGAGGCCACAGATATTGATACGATGTTTTTATTGTGCCCACAATGCCCCTGCTTTTTACTGGGTTTATTTTATACTTCCTCCCATATCTCTCACTCCAATGTGTTGTTATGGCAGCAGGCAGATTTGGGACAAGGCCCTTAAGTACTTTTCAGGTATATATTATCATGTACCTCTCTCTCCTCTGCTTTAAGAAGTACATATTTAGAACCCTAACGCATTCCCAGTACAGCCTCTTCTCACTTAACAATGGAGTTCCATTCCTAAGATCACGTCAGTAAACGAATTCATCGCTTAGTGAGGAGCATGCTATAATGGTAGTAGGTTTATATCAAACATTTTTTATATTGTTTTAATTTCACCTTTGCACCATTTATAACATTTCTGGTATATTCTTAAATGCTTATACAGTAATGTACCGTATATTGTAATAAACAGAACACAGGAAATCTGCACTAATATACATTATTTAGGTATGTATACTGGTCAGAGAGCCCATCATAAATCCAAGGCGTCGGTAAACGAATATGTCACTAAACAAGGAGAGGCTGTACAGTAATTTAAATATTTCATTGGCTCTGTGTAGGCCTTAAATGATCTTAATCTGTTCATCTCTGATATCTCTCCTGCCCTGAATGGGGCTATCAACACTGAACAATATCCCAAATGAGAAAGCACAAGCGAACTGAAGTGTCACCACTGCTGCTATTTCCCTTGTTTTGAAAGTCCTCATTATCCACTCTGTCATCTTCCTGGCTGTTGTGACATTTGCCTTATTGTGTTCCCTGAAAGAAAGATCAGCCAGTATAATTACAAGTTTTTCATCATATGTCACTGAATCCTACCCACACAGTACTCATTCCCCCCTAATAACACCTCACATACTTAATTCTTTTATACCTCACTGTCCACCCAGCTACATAGGTTTTCTCTGCACTTTTATCATTTGACCCAACATTCCTCTTAGTGCTATGTTCTATATGTAAGTTGATAAAGTCCACATTAGAGGAAACGTTGCTGTATTAAAGCCTTGCTTTATTTATTTGTCTTTGATTTACTATTGTGGTGTAATAGAGAGAACATTAATGCCAGGAGGGATTCATATGCTCATATAAGTTGGTTGCAACTTGCTTTTTCTTGTTTAAATTTTAATCACTCAGCTGTGAAAAGCACTGCTTTAAATTACAACTTTGCACTTCATTTGACCCTCAGTTGCCCTCAAGCCATAGGATTTCTAATAAGGTGGGTATGAATACCTGAAGCACTTACAAAATAACGCATCATTGACAAGTCTTCATATCAATTCTATTCTCTGATTTTATATAAAGAGGTAAAGTATATCACTGTAGTGCCACCTGTGACATCATCATATTCCTAAGAGAAGAATTTGGTGTTATTAATTTCTGAGAAAACTTGGAGGAGAAAGAAAAAAGATAAGAAAGAAAACCAACAATGTAGCAAAGAGCCAACTGTTACCACCTTTCTGCTGGACGCATAACGCATGGAGCTGCGCTAGGACGGCATGCGTGGGCACAACTCCTGCCATGGGCGTGGTGATGGGTGGGGCGGGTGGTGACATGGGTGGCGGGGCACGGTTGGTGGGGGTGGTGGTGGTGACTGGAGTAGCTGCAGCAGACACGGCCAAGAGAGAGTAGAGTCCTGCATACGGCGCCAACCCTGTAAGAACAAATGTCTATCTTAGTGAAGCATTATGTATGCATCTCAGCTACTTGTGATACACTAGACTATTGCATTATACATCAATTTACAACACAGTATATACAATAACAATATACAATAACAACATTAAAACAGAATATTTTTTTATTCATTCCCTTATAACCATTTAGCCACTGTGTACAATGCACTTATGCATTTTGGGCAAATTCTACCACAGGAGCTGCCCAAAAAAGATACCACACAGTTCCCTGCTGGTAAACATGTGAGCATCAGCTGCTCTTATACACGTGTATGCTATCAGTACATGTGTATGCCATTAAGTTTCAGGTTATCTCCTATTATTTGTGAAGAAATACTTTCCACCACTGCTTTCCCATAATCTGAAATTATGATTTGTCATTCTTCCTTTGAAGGTGCCAAGATATTTTCCTTCTCTATTTTCTCATATTCTTTTATAATATACACTGTGCTACCTAGTTATCATATCTCTTCTATTCCTCCTGTATAACAATAAGGACATTTCAATCTTTCTTTGTAATTCATGACTTAACTCTATAATCATTATTTCTGCATGTCTTTAAATTTATTATACACTATTTCACTTTATTTTTTTTAGATATATACACCATCCACATTCCAATTTTGATCTAATGCACATTGTGAATTTTATTTAGGATTTCCCCATCAATATATTTTAAAGCTTAGGCTCCTGGATAATATGAAATTTCACATGTCCAAATTATTTTAAAAAATCCAATATTATATTTTACATGTATGTTACTAAATAGAAAAATCCCATATTTTTGTCTTTAAACATTGATCTAATCTGCTTAATTCATAAAAAAAGAACAACCAGAAAGAAACTGGATTTGAGTGTGGGAATTCCAATGAGTACACTTTGGTGTACTCATTGGATTTCAATTTAAGGGCAAATGTGCCAGAGAAAAAAAAAAAAAAAAAAAAAAGGCACCACAAAAAAATTGTGCTTACCACAAATTTTTTTTGGTGCCCATTTTCGTAGTACACAACCTCAAGTGTATTTATACCATCCACCTCTAATTCTAAAAAGAATACATACATACTGCACTACTCCATCTCTGTTGCTATTTTTTACACCATCTTACTTTGAAATAGTCTGTTGCAGCAGTTTAACCCTTAAACGGTCCAAACATATACATGTATATACGTTCTCTCGCGTAGCGCCCTGAATTTTTTGAGAAAAAAAAAATCTTTTTTTTTTAATAGGAAAAAAGAGCATATGGTACCCAGGCATCCCCAATTTTTTTCATATGGCGCACAGTGAGTGCACACACCCATTCTCTCATGTCTAGGCGACTCAGTCTTATCATGGCAATGTTGAATGAATGACAAAGGAAACGTATATATACGTTTAGGGCGCTACACGAGAGAACATATATGTATATACGTTTGGACCGTTTAAGGGTTAAAAAAAAATGCTTACCTTACCTCATCTTTTATTTTTAATGAAGGCAAATTAGTGTTTTCATTCTTCATGCCATATCTCATGTCAATTCCTGGATTCATTTTGTTACATATTTGTTATTTCTATTTTATTTCTTTTTCTTTAGATGAAGACAATATATTACATTGGCACACTCTTACAGTACATTTGGTAGCTACCAGATTAGTCTTTCATAGGGGGTTAATGTATTAAAGTTTCCAATAAGCCCAAATAAATGCAGTCTATCAGCACAGGATAGAAAATCTATCATAAAGGAGCATTTTTTTTAAGTAATGGCATTTACCCTTTTTCAGTTAAAAGACCTTGGAATTTTTTGAGTGCCTTGTTCACTTTTTTTTAATCTGGTCTTTTTCTGAATAAGAATATTATTACATTCATGAGGAAGCACTAACTTTATATGCGTTATACAGCACCTGGGAAAATGAGAGATGATCAGGTCTGATTCAAGAAAGGAGAGTTCAGGTTTAATTCTTTGGATCAAGAGCCCATCACCAGCATCAAGGAACCTCTCTTGATGTGTAATATTGATATGAAACAGTTTGAGTTGGTCTTTTGGCTTATCAGCTAACTCATTCTTGAAACAGTTTTTCTCTTTATTCTAGTACAATACATGCATTCCTAAAAAGAGGTAAACCTTTGGGAGATATTCTTAGTCCTACAAAGGTATGGACATTCAAAGCATTTTTCACAAATATTTTCCATTGTCCAAGTTTCTCTCAATATCTTCCATGGCATTTTACAGTCAAATTTTGCCTTTTGACTATTTTTTAACCATGGGTTATTTTTCTTTTTTACTTTTTTCATATTACCGAACTGAATTTTATGATCAGTGGTGTTTTGCATGCACAGGGCAAGAAACCTATGTTACTTCACTGTTCAGTTCAGCAACCCATAATATCCCTAATAGGAATTACCTTAGGTCTACACCCCATACATCAACCTCTGCTCTTTCCCACATCTAGTTACACTTCCACTAAGTAAATGAGTGTCAAGGCACAGCTGAAGTTTAGTTTCTAGAGGAACTTTGTAGCCAATCTTACCAACTGTGCAATTATCTGTTTGTTGAAACCTAATTGTGGTTACAGTGGTTTAGTCAAAGTTCTCAGACCCCCCCCCCCCAGTCTCAATTACTCATGAACGGTTGCAATCTACTCATAGGAACACAAAAACAGAGGAGCGACACAATACAGCAAATGCCCATGCTGTATTGTGTCCTTTTCAAATCAACCCCTGTCACTCTTAAAATTATTCAGTCAGTTTTTAAAGTTATCCAAGGTACTAGCTTCAAAGCACTGAGTTCTCACTTCATTCTACTTCCTAACCACTCAGAAATGGAAGTGCAGAATGGCTCCAATTTATGAATATCCAAGATATAAGGTTTCCTAATTACAACATCAACATTTTGGGCTCAATTAATTTCTTACGAACAAGTGACTCCCACTTTCAGTAGTGGGGACTACTTACGCTGGTGGAGAAGTGTTTGCAGAAGGCAGTGCTTTGGCTGGTGGCTGAAAGCAAACATTATATCAATGCATGTTTGCTGTATTTTTAATAATTTACCTTGGAAAACAGCTGTGCATCATGATTGGAAAGCGCAAGATTGGTGGTGGGGGATACAAAAGTGCCATAGAACAGGAAATCTATGACCTTTGAGATAATGTACTACATACTGTATATGCAATTTAAAAAGCATACTGAGGGTAAAAAATTTTGAAGTTAACAATCTTGTAGGAAAAAATAATTGAAATTAGATAAGAACACTGAAGACTGGGGAATGCATGATTAACCCTTTTAACATTATTTCTTATAGGAAAATTGCATCCAAGTACTGAACAATCAACTCATGATGAATTTTCAAGAATGCATTTACGTTGTAAGTTGGGGGCTTACTGTACAGTATCTCTAACATCTCTCTGGCCCACTCTTGTCTTAAGTTTCCATCTGCATGTTCCTGTGTCCTTTCAAATAGTCTGTTCCTCTCCACACTGTTAATGCATCTGATTATCTTGTACTGTATGCTGTAATCATGTTGCCTATCTTCCAAGGTTGTCCAGACGTCTTCTCTTCTGAAGGTGTATAATTTGGTGTAGACTCCACAATGGTTCTGCATACTCTTTGATGGATTTTTATATAATGTGCAGTGGGCTCTAAATTACTTTTTCATTAATTAAGACTTCACTTCTTAAATACATCTCAAAATTTGCAAATCTAGAACCTTAACAATTCTGCATAACCTAATATACTGAATATTAACAGTGTTTAATGAAGAAAAAAATACTTTGCAAAATCATTATGTATTCATAGTATTTGTAAAGTTAGTCTTACTAGTTGACGTTTCAATACGTCCTGGACCATTGTCAAGTGTCAACGTGGTAATGGTCCACGATGAACCAAAATGTTGTCTAGTTCAACTGCAATTTGTTAGTTGTGAACTGTTCTAGCACATTAGTATGTAACATTCTCCATCTATGGTGACTGTGGAAAATACTGTATATATTTTCCAGAAATACAGTAGTTATACGTAAATAGATGGCCATACTGTATTTAATAATATTTATGTCAAAAAATGGGAAGCTGCGCCTGTGCAGAAGGCACTCGCCATTTTGTTTGAATTTGAACTAGAAGCGTTAGTGTAATGAGAAAAAATTTTCATGCTCTAGAGGTAAAATTGGGCTGACACCTCTCAAATAGGAAACGAAATTGTTGGATGTGCATTCCTGCATAATTTGAGTATCAGGCGACAGGACAGGACAACTCCAGGAACCTCAGATAAGCTGTCTAATTTATGTTTAAATTCTGGCCAGTAAATTTTTCATAAATGTAGGCAAAAGGGGGGTCCTGTACATGACACCTTAATCTCCAGTCAAATTGGTGAGTGATATTAAGATATTCTCCTTCTGTTATGTGTATGTGTATATATATAATCATTTATTATTTTTAATATACAGTCCACAAATTTATATATTTACCAGAATTCTTGGTGATGTATATTTCATTTGTAATTAATAGGTCTAGAGCAACTTGTGGATATGACAGTGGTAGGTATCGAAGGAGGACATTTTTTGTGACCTAGGTGTCCCAAATTCCTACTTGTCTATGTAACTCTGATAAATAATAATTATCTTTGTTATCATTTACTGTTATGTACATAATGAGTTACATTCAGGTAAATGCAATTTTCCACATGGTCCACGATGAACCAAAATGTTGTCTAGTTCAACTGCAATTTGTTAGTTGTGAACTGTTCTAGCACATTAGTATGTAACATTCTCCATCTATGGTGACTGAACTTCAGGAACGTCTCACTTATGGTAAATTCATACTGTTATTTGGTACATTTTGTAAATAACAATAATAATACCAATGCAGTTTTGGCTGTAAAATATGGGGTTAGACTGGTGTTGACTGCCGAGTTTATGTGGAAAAATCCACTTGTGTATGAAAGAGAGAATTTCGTACCTGCTACAGCAATCCATAATATACTTGTTACTTTAAAAGTGTCTTGATGCTGGTA